TCCAAGGTGGTGGCTTGTAGCCGCGGGCAGCGCGCTATTCCGTGTAGAGCTGGAAGAGTTAAAACCCTCCTTGCTGCAGCTTTGTGCTGCTTTTGTCAGCGTGGGTGAAACCCGGGGGTGGGGGTGAGGGGGGGTGGGCTTTCTGTCAACTGGAATGGGGTTTCTTCCCGCCTCTGACAAGCTCAGTCATTTTTAAGGAATTATTTAGATTTGTGAAAAGTAATCATCCGGGTCGGTAAGTTTCGGGCAATGTAAGGACATGAAATAACAGAAGATAGCCTTTAAAAAGGAAAGAGGCTGGGCAGTCCATGTTAAAATGCCCCGTCAGTACGACTCTTCGTTCATTTTCACATTTCCAAAGTTTTACCTGAAAAACCCCTGTAGGAACTATCCATTACCTTGTTCTTGAGATGGGTCAGGGCATCTCTGTGTGGATATGTCGGCGCTGCTGGTATTATACACGCTCCTTTGAGTTAAAGAGAAGGGCCCACTAACGAGATGAATGAGAGGGATGAAAAGCCAGTTTTCTGTTTCAGAAACACTGTACAGCCTCTGTCATGTGTAGCTGCTGCTACTTGGCAGTGAAAGATTTGCAGCCTTACACTTCCATATGAGCCAGCAGTCAGGCTTTCCATCTCTCCTGGTTCAGCAAAGGACTGGAACAAAACCTTAACAAGCAAATAAATCCTAGCAGTTGCTTTCCACCTGGATGCAGGTCCATGGAACTGCCTGTGCTCCTTTTGCTTTGGGACTCCACATGCAAAAGCTTGTATGGTAGGGTTACAACAGAACAAGGGTGCTTTTTGGTAGATGGGAATAAAACAGAAATTGTGTTGGCGGGGGAGGGGGGGAATACATGCCTCTGTTGTATCTGCTGGTCTTTTATCTGAACGGTACCTACAGGAATTCAGAATGTGTCTGAAAACAGGGGAAATGGCTCATATTTATTGATATTTTAGTTGTATGCTGAGGTAGTTCATACTTTATTCGATTTTCTGTCTACTTCTCATTTTTAAGATTTTTTTCTGACTTTTGTTATTGTTTTATGGATAAATCTGCTCATCCAGTTTAATTATTTTTCTCTCTTAGTCAAGGAAGTATGTTTTCTCTCCCCCTCCCCCATCTAGTCAACCTCTTCAGTATTGCTGCAGCAATCTAAGCCAGTATCTCTAATCTCTGTAGTCTGTGAAATTCAGAACATCTTTCTTAATGGCTTCCAAGCAGTAACTATAAAAGAACAGATTTATTCTCAAAAACTGGATTGGAAAGGTTGTTTTATTGCTAAAGTATTTGCACATATGTGTCATTGAGACCACTATCTAACGGATTGCTTATAGTCAATAGAAATTGTTTTTTTCCCTTTGTATCATATCTTCAAAGCTTATCAGCTTTTTCCTTCCAGCAGCTTTTGTAAAAGCTCTGGTAGAAAGACAGTCTCAGTGAAATGCTTTTATTAATGCTTCCATTAATGCTAGAGGTTTTCTGGGTTGTAGGTTCAGATGATCTCATTCTGTCACTCAGAATTAATACAGAGGTATTACATCAGAATATAAATGCTCAGCTTCCAGCATCTTTAGGTGCCTGCAAAATATTCCTGGTTTGAGTCTTTTAATCTTTTCTTTCCGGTCCTTCTATCCATTTGTGCTGAGTTTTGGAATCAATAGTCATGCTGGGCTCCATTTATTGTTAGAAAAAATTGTTTCTTGAAGTGCAGGAATTAATAAATGTAATTAAATGATGAGAATACAGCAGAAAGCATTATTGACTATACACAGGAAATTAATGTTTAGTCATGTTGCAGACTTCAATGAAAGCAGGTGTCTACGTGATTCAACCTCCAGGTATCCCACCAGTATTTTTAGGCGGTTCCGACCATTATGTCTTAAAAATAAGAACCTCTTAAAACATACATGTGTCCACAAACACAAAAAACCAAAACAGAACTTAAAAGGTCTTGTCCACTTGACCTGCCTCACGTCACAACTCAGTCCAGTCTGTTCCTCCCCTTGCTTGGCTGCTCAGGAAGATGAAAGTGGTGGTGGATATTGTAGCACAGAAAATGCCATCTGAAAATGATGTTCATGTGGCGAGAAGCTATCTTATGAAGATCTTGAGAAGTTCCATGAGGTACAGTACTGACTTTACAAGTGCATCCCTTCTGTTCCTTCCCAGTGATTGAATTCCCCTACCGTTTTCCAAACTCGTAGCAAACCATCACAGAAGTCCTCTTTCCCAACCTTCATTTCCTCATGCTCCACACATTGCTTGTATTGTGCTATCTTTACAGTCTTGTGTTTCCTTAGTGGTGCATCGTAGAAAAGTAATTGTCTCATAATAGATAAATCTTTTTGCTCAATTGAGGCCTAATGAATTTGCCTAAATAGGTATTTGTGTTTTCCCAACTGGTATCAATACCATTAGAGGTGAGCTGGAGCCTTCGATGTTCTGTGCAGCTGAACACTGGAACGATTTTTTTTCCATACCTGAACACAGGCTTGGGGCCCTTGGAGTACGCAAGGACTGTATGGAGCCCAGCATCATGTGGCTGAGCAGAATCCTTTGCGCTTGTTGGCACTGAGAGTATTTGGACTCCTCCACTCACTCTGAATTTCATATTCTACCAAGAAAGAACAACATAGTGATGCTCTGCTTAACTGTTTTCTGTTTTGTCATACTGGGAAGAGTAGGCTTTTGTTTATGGAAACAATTACTTCTTTTTTTAGTGACAGTAATGATGCTACACTTCTTAGTGAAATTGCAGCTTCCCTGTAGAATTATTATTTTCCTTTTGTAGTCCTGCATGCAGAGTTTGGAAAGGCAATTCATCACTGAATTCATCAGATCTTCCTGAATGTACTGCAAAAAAGCTGTGTACTCAAATTTGACCTGTTTTAAAGATACTGGGTTTATAAAGAGCTTCGGTTTTGTTCTCTAAATCTAGTGGCTGTCTGATAACCCAAATTTATAAAAAGAGGGAATGAGTAAAAAAATGTAGAACTACCTTTAGAGTTCAAGATGAAAATAAGGGAACACTTTCTCAGCTTAGCAAATTATTTTGTAACTCCGACAAATTACTTAACCTTGTAGTAATAAACTTCATAAGCACATAAGTGAAATACATAAGTGCATTAAAAAAACCCTCAAGAACTAAGGTCCTGTAAGCTTTTGTTTCAGACTGTGGCTTGGAAGAATGAGATTTGTCTCGCCTTATACCTCGTCTAAATTTTAAATTACACTTCCCTCAAGAAGAGCCAAAGAGAAGGGCAGGATGAATTACCTTCAAGAAGTTCCTGCTTCCTTCCTGGGTGACTGAGAGGGTCTAGACAAATGGCCCATGCTCAGCATCTGCTCACTGAAACAGAAGTAGCTGAATTCCACCCAGAAGGCTTATTTAACATTGGGGAAAAAGAACGCACTTATTTCGTAAGTGCTGAGAGATGTTACAAACAGCAAGTCCTTGGAAGGAAGTGCAAGCTGTTGTTACTAATTCCTTAACAGAAGGAAGGGGCAGAGGAGTGTAGAGCAGTTTTGCAGAAAGGTTTGCAATTTACAAAGCTCTGACAAGTTATTGTTGTACTTCTTAGAAGGGGGGTCTCTTCCGTTACGTGAGCATGTACATTTGGAGGGGATATCTAAGTAGATATTTGAATTGCTGAACTATTTTTGAGGAGTATTCTTTAAAAACAAAAAAAAATCCAAAACAAACAAAAAAATCCTGCATACCTGGGGTGCCAGACATTTCAAGAGCTGAAGCAGAACTTGGCTGGAGTTAAAACGATTAGTTATATCACTCTTGCTAACGTGTATGAAACAATGTACGTGGCTTTATTCCTTCCTGTCATTAACTGTTTTCTTCCCACCTCCTCCCATAAGCACGTACCCACAGTAAAACCTTGCCAAAGCCCTACTGTACTGATGACATGTTGTAAAAGAGTCATAAGTCTCAGTATTAGCTTTAACCATTAAAGCTGTGGATACATGTCAGGTACTTTAAAATTTGTTTGCCTGTCTCCACCCCTCATAAAAAAACACCCCACTACCAAAATAAATATAATTTTAAAAACAAGCAAAAAAAACGGAACAAAAAACACACAAGGTGGACCGTGGAGAGTATTGACATTTCACTGCATCTCGAGCATTTTAAAGGAATGTTGGTGTCTTTTCAAAACTGGCATGCATGTAGAAGGTTGTCTCATTTGCTGTCACGTAAAGTCATTATGCCCCTGTCCTATCTGTATAGCGTTTGACTAGATTTTGACTATAGCGTTTGGTAGATTTTTTTTGCTGGATGTCACCTTACTGAACTGTTTGAATTAAACTAGTACACTCTAACTCTCTCGTTTTCAGAAGAAATGACCTAACCTGCAGGCCTCACTCCTGGCACGCAACCAAATTTACAGAAAGTCAACCTGAGACAGCCACGTCACACCTTTCCTCGTCCAATGCCTGCGCTTCCTGGCACTCGCGCTATCATGCAAGGTGAGTCTCTGCTTAAGTTACATACATTAAGCTCCAACGGCGAGACAATAATAATGTAGGTCATGACATTGAGTGGGTTTTTTAAAACCATGAAGATTATATTATATGTCTTTAGTATCGCCTGTCCTTTCAATGCTTGAAGGGGGAGCATGGGAAGTTTGACATATGGATGAGTGGATTTCAGAAACAGTATGTGATATGTGCGTGTGACTGAAAGGTAAGAAACTAGCTTTAAAGGCACTCAAAAGGTTATGTTTCTTGCTCTGCATTTCCTTTCAGTGTTCACTGGGAAAATCCTAAACCTTTGTAAGCAAAAAGAAACCATCAAAAAAGTGAAAGAAATAGTAAAGGGAGAAGAAATTGAAAAATACTGTTTCAGACTATTAAAAAGCCTTTTCCTAAAGGGGAGGGTGCAGAATGTTTTCCTGTTGGACTTTAAGGTTTTGCTGGTTTTATTAGTTAAACTGTCTTTCCGTAATCTGATCCTCCATACAGCTGTGCTCTTGCTTGTGCAGAGAGGTAATAAGACCAATGATTTTCAGTCCCCGTTTAAGGCACCTTAATATTTGTTAGGTTTCATTCAGCGGTGGGGGAGAAAGGCTGGCACTCGTGCAGTTTTAGTTGTGAAACTTAAAACTTTTAGGTAAAGTCTGTTTGTGTCTGATTACAAGTTCTTGTTTGTTTTTTGGTCGTAGGTGACATTCTTCAGCACTTTTACAAGGCGTTTTTGTTGGGGTTTGTTTGTTTGTTTTTTTCTCAGTTCCTATTGGGCTGTAGTTACACTGAGCATTAAAGTAAATGAGTCTGGTACGCAAATCCCAGTTTGTAAAGTAGGCTTGTGTTTTCTATACTTACTGCTGTACATTCTCCATCATTACTTCTTGATGTTAATCTATTGAGGTAGTTAAAACAGAAGAACATTCATACGTTAAGATTTTATTTTATTTTATGTCATTTTTGCAACCACTTTTACATTGTTTTCTGTAGAAGCTCTGTACTGTTTTTAAAAATAATTTGCTATCTGCCCTTGAACAAAGTATGAATGTTAACATTTAGACAGAAAGGTTTTTTTAAATGCATTTTATAATACTTGTTTAGCAGAAGTTTCAGCACATTATATTCCTCAAATCCTTGACTATAATTGCTGCCAGTTTACACTGACTTTAGAGAGTTTGTATTTAAATTTCATGTAGATGGGCTGAATTAAATTTATAGATTTGAGGACAGTAAAAGTCCTTGTACATAGAAACAAAATCCAGAAATTTCTAAAAACCTTATGGAGTTCCTGGTTGCAATACTAAAGTATTTCTACTTTGGTCTACTGAGCGTTCTGATGGAGCTGTAAATCAGTATATGCTTCCTGTTCTTCCAGACAGCTGTCCTTGTACCTTGTGAAAGTAAAATATTACAAGACTCATGTCTCAGAGTGTGATTTGATAGGAGCTGGGTGAATCACAATATTTTAAAAAGAAAAAACTATTAATTTGGTTCAAGGCCAGCTTCAAATGAGCTTTGGACAGGAAGTAATGGGTGTAAAGGAAAAGGGGGAGGGGAATAGAGCAATCCTCTCCTCCCACATATCAGAAATAGCAGCAACTGCTGGTAGACATCAGTATTAATTAAAAGGGCAAATTCTGCTTTCTCAGATGCTATTGAAAGATGTAGTGGCTTTAGCACAGTCCCAGTCCCCATCCTGAACTCCCTGGCTGCCTGTGCTGCTCACTTGACACGGGATGTATTTGGGAGATCTGTTAGCCCTGGTGTCTGTTGCCCAAGAGAGTTTCAGCGGCAGAGCTGACTTCGGACTGTGGCTGCTGAAGGCCCAGCATTCCCAGAGTGCCAGCCCAAGGATTTGGGTATTTTGAGGATCCCAGTTGCAGAGGGGGGTTCTTTGGGCTTGCTTGTCTGCAATAAGAGAAGGTGAGCAGCTTCAGAGTTTCCCCACTTTCAAACTACAAATCACAAACCGAAGAAGCTCGCACAGCAATCAGTATGCAAGGAGATAGAAATTAATAGAAATAGCCCCAGGAGGATATAGTTCTAGCCCAAGGATCCCATCCTTGGGCTATTTCTGGAATTTCTTGTCCTTCCTTGAGCTAAGCATCCAAGACTGGTATTCACAGCCTAAAATCTCTTCTGAATGTGCCTGCATGCATTCTGTCTATGAGTATGAAAACTAATTCACTTGTAAAACGTGGAGAGTTTGATCAGGGGAAGAGATGCTTTTGCTGTCTTCTAAGCAGGATATACCTGTATTTTGTGTGTTATTGGGGTGCTCCTGGACAAAACAACCCTCTGAAGAGTGTCTATAGCTAGACTTAGCTAAGGGTGATTTGATTTGCTTTGGTTTTGGAGGGTTTTTTCGTTGTTTTTGGTGGGAGCTTTTTGCCAGCCTGCTGAATTGGGACCTTTGAGAAGGTGCACGAAGCTAGAGGAAGACAGACAGACCAGAAGAAACTGTACCAGTGCAGTTAGGAGAGAGGGTAGTTCTGGAGCCCAGGTCACCACATCCACCACTATGTGTGTATCTTTTCTTTTTATCGTGTGAGTTTCATTCAAAACCTGTAAACTGTCTTGGGAGCACTGGGCCAGGTCTAGGTGCCTCTCACGCAAGGCTAAAGATTGAGACCTTGTAAGCTTTTTGTGCCTTACTCTGTGAGTCTTCTGCTATTTTTTTGACAGAAGTCGTACCTTAACAGCATCGATGCAGACTTCTTTCCTAGCCCCCCCTAGACTAAGGCTGAGTGCACTTTTCTGGGAGGTGTGGACAGGAACTATGTTAAGTTGCTGAAAGTTTAGACCCTGTGGGTTTTTTCCAGTAGGATATACTATAATAGAGGACGTTATAAACTTTGCCCCCACACCTTAGGTGTGCAGTTGGAACCAACAACCCCTTCTACTTCATTCTGGCCTTACAGGTGTGGGTGTGAGGCAAGTATTCTTTGAGAAGGCTGTTTAAACTGAGTTTTGGGAGCGATTAGGGTCAGGTACATTTGGTCCGTAATCCCATGCGGTCTGAATGTGGTCTTATTTGCTGAGATGATGTCATTTCTGGGAGGGCCAAGAAGCAGAAACTCATGCCGCAGGGTTGAGTGGGGTGCTTGTTGGCCAAAGTGGCCAAGGACGGTGTTTGTAGATTTCTCCTCTACTTTACCTGTCAGACTTCAACTGGCAATGTAGGTGCTTTTGTGAATCCACCCTAAAAAAAGCTAGTGAGAGAAGGATAACCTGGAATGCCAGGCTCAGGCAGAGAAATGGCTTTTGGACTCTCTGCCATATGAGGGTTTGTGGGAGGATTGCCTTGCAGTTAAGGGACACAGGAGGCTATGCTTTGTACTAACACACCATCAGAAACTTTCCTGTCCTTTCTTTGAAGCTTTTGCTGCATCTGCTGCGTTTCCATTAGGTATTTTCTAGCAGGGCTTTGAACCTCTTATGCTGATGGTGTCTGCTTCACTTTTGATACCAGCAGATTTACATGAGACTTGTAAACTGTAAATTGAGGCTTTCCTGCACAAGTGTTATCTTTATTTTAATTGATGCCAAGTATCTCCTTAGTGCTGAAGAGGGGGAAAAATATCAGCAATTCACAGCAATATTTGGCTTACATTCTTCATTAACAAAGGAGATCCTAATAACGACTGAGACACTTTTTACATGAACCACAGTATCTGTTTAAGACGACAAGACCTTTTTAAGTGTTCAGCAAGATGTTTTAAAATGCTGAAAATAAAAGAATGAAAGAACAAAAAACCCACAAGATGAGGCCAATGCTAGTGTATCTTGTTAATATAATGCTTTTAGAAGATAAGCACAAAGTACACCTTCTCTTATTTCACATAAATTGCTTTTGACTATGTTGTATTAAAAAAGTTACAAAGGCTATAGTAAAAAGTGCAAGAAGGTTTGTGAGGGGGGGGGGGGGGGGGAAGCAATTCTCATGTTAATACTGAATTCCAAAGAACTATTTAATTGACCTTTGCAATATTTTTGACAGGAAAAAAGGTCTATATCACTCTTTGTATTTTTATGTGGACTAATCTAATTTCATTCCTGGCTTTCATAGGTTTCTTTACTGCACAAGATTTGATAGATGCTTCGTATAATTATAGCTACAGGGAAGTGGAATAATTCTGGGATTTCTACCAAGGGGCTTTGCATGCAAGGGCAAGAATTTGAATTTGGTATATAAAAGCAGGGGGGGCTGCCAGTGAAGTTCAAACAGGGAGATGTGATGAGAATAATTGGAAAGACTATCAACTCATCATCGGTGTGTTGGATTGACAGGAGGTGGGTGCTGTGGAAGATACAAAAGAAAAGAAAGAAACCTGAACAAAACTGACTTGGTAGGAAAACAACAGAAGCAGCAAGATTTTGAAATAGTGTCCTAGGCAAATGATCCAGAGAAAGTACAATGTCAAAGATGATGTTTCTATAGAGGAAAGAG